TCCTCTGCCGTTAGAGTGGATAAATAACCGGGATCAATACCCTTTACGTGCTTTCCCGCTCCGTCCGTCATGTTGAATTAGTGTTTCTTGCCGCCGACTAAAATTATTCCCAGCATGCAACGCGCGCTTTTGTTAACAATGAAACTCGCCTATAAAGCTTCAGACAGAGCGGTGCCTTCGAGGTTGTATAGATGATTTTTTAAGGAAAGAGAAATACAGCGACATTCCTCCTCCACACCTCCCTCAGTAGAAACACCTCCGCCCGCCTCTTTACTCTAGAAATCACGCTTGTTTACAGCCATGCGTGCTCAGAATTGTTACAGCTTGTGGCCTGTCATCGCCTGGCGCTCCCCGTTTGTTTTACCGCGTGTATCTTCCATATTTGCATGTCCTGTGTGGTACCTGACATCTGATTGGTGGAGCGTGGTTCCGACGTCCGTATCTGGGTTTCACGTGACGTCACAGGGCGACGTTTGTCAGCGCGCAAAATCAGACGGAGGGCAGGAAGTGAACCGACTGGAGGAAAATGCTGATGTGTTGTGTAGTTTACGACCAGTGTTGGGAAGGTGACTTTTAAAATGTAATCCCCTACAGATTACAGATTACACACCCCAAAATGTAGTTTGTAACGTAATCCATTAAATTACTTAAAGTGAGTAATGTAATCTGAATACTTTGGATTACTTGATTTGCTGTAGAGAAGTCTTCACATAAGATGTTTTGTCTGATAAAAGAAAATAAAAAGCCCAGATTTTACTGAACCAAATTAAAAATATTATTGATAGAAGAAGAGGAGACACGTCCACGCAGCAGGATTTAGTCTGTTAAATCCTGGTTTTAGTCCTGGTTTAGTCCTGGTTTAGACCTGGTTTAGACCTGGGTTTAGTCCTGGTTTTAGACCTGTTTTTAGTCCTGGTTTAGACCTGGTTTAGACCTGGTTTAGTCCTGGTTTAGTCCTGGTTTAGACCTGGTTTAGTCCTGGTTTTAGTCCTGGTTTAGTCCTGGTTTAGACCTGGTTTAGTCCTGGTTTAGACCTGGTTTAGTCCTGCTTTAGTCCTGGTTTAGACCTGGTTTAGTCCTGCTTTAGACCTGGTTTTAGTCCTGCTTTAGTCCTGGTTTAGTCCTGGTTTAGACCTGGTTTAGTCCTGGTTTAGTCCTGGTTTAGACCTGGTTTAGTCCTGGTTTTAGACCTGGTTTAGTCCTGGTTTTAGACCTGGTTTTAGATCTGGTTTAGTCCTGGTTTAGTCCTGGTTTAGACCTGCTTTTAGTCCTGTTTAGTCCTGGTTTAGTCCTGGTTTAGACCTGGTTTAGTCCTGGTTTAGACCTGGTTTTAGTCCTGCTTTAGTCCTGCTTTAGACCTGGTTTAGTCCTGGTTTAGACCTGGTTTTAGTCCTGCTTTAGTCCTGGTTTAGTCCTGGGTTTTAGACCTGGTTTAGTCCTGGTTTAGACCTGGTTTAGTCCTGGTTTTAGACCTGGTTTAGTCCTGGTTTAGACCTGGTTTTAGTCCTGCTTTAGTCCTGGTTTAGACCTGGTTTAGTCCTGCTTTAGTCCTGGTTTAGTTTAGTCCTGGTTTAGTCCTGGTTTAGACCTGGTTTTAGTCCTGGTTTAGTCCTGGTTTAGACCTGGTTTAGTGGTTTAGTCCTGGTTTAGTCCTGGTTTAGTGTCCGGCAATGAGTGGAATTACCGAGAGAAAAAAAAAAAAAAAAAAAGGGAATACCCCGAAATGTGAAAACAGGAAAATATCGTCATGTAATCCATTTATTTCAACAAAGTAACTGTAATCCAATTACCTCTCACTGAAACAGTAACTGTAACTGAATACAGTTACTCATCATTTGTACTCTGATTATGTAACTTCGGTACATGTAATCTGTTACTCCCCAACACTGTTTACGGCTGTGACAATCGTTCTAACCGAGAGAAGGAAAAGCGATTTTTTTAAACTAAATTGTTTTTTGTGGTTTACCTAAACATAAACGAATAAAAGAAGAGGGGGAGGGGAAGAGAGAGGGAGAGAAAAAGGGAGGGAGGAGGAGAGGAATAGAGAGAGAGAGAGAGTGTGTGTGTTTTAGACGGAGGTGAAACCAGACTTGTTATTATGATGTGATTGTGAATCCTAATCCAGCTGTACTGAAGAGAGAGAGAGGAGAGGAGAGAGAGAAGGAGATAGCAAACGAGTGTAGGAGACAGAGAGAGAGAGAGAAGAGGAGGAGGAAGAGGAGGAGGAGGAGAGAGAGAGAGAGTGGAAGCCAGACATGTTAATATTAATGAATTAAAGATTAGATTTAGATGCAAAAATTATGCAGAATTTTGAGGAAGAATTTCACACGTCAACATTTCCAATACTGCAGCGAGAGAGAGAGAGAAAGAAGGGAGGGAAGGAGGAGGGAGAGAGGAGAGAGAGAGAGAGAAGAGAGAGAGAGGTGGAGGGTTGAGGCTACGTCAACAAAAGAAAAACACACTCCATTACTCATCTGCTGAGGACAGGATGGAGGGAGCGAGAGGAGGGGAGAGGAGAGGAGGATGAAAAGGCAGGTGATAGACATAAGGAGAGGAAGAGAGAGAGAAAGAGGGAGGACGGGAGGGAGAGAGAGAGTGACAAAGGGGAGAGAAGGTGAGGGAAGAGAGGAGGAGAGGAGAGAGAGGGAGGAGATGGGGAAATCGGGGGAGAGAGAAGGAAAGAAGGGAGAGAGGGAGGAGAGGAGGAGAGCAGAGAGAGGGGGAGGAGAAAATAAGAGAGAGAGAGAGAGGAAGAGGAAAGTGGGAGAAAGGAGGGAAGCAGGGAGAGAGGGGAGAAGAAATTGAGAGAGAACGTAAGAGAGGGGAGAGAGGAGGAAAGAGAGAGGAGGGGGAGAGAGAAAGAAAGCAGGGAGGAGAGGAGGAGAGCAGAGAGAGGGGGAGGAGACAATAAGAGAGAGAGAGGAAGAGGAAAGGGAGAAAGGAGGGAAGCAGGAGAGAGAGGGAAGAGAGGAGAAGAGAGAGGAGAGGAGAGAGGGAGGAGAGAGAAGAGGAAGCAGGAGAGAGGAGAGGGAGAGAAGGAGAGCAGAGAGAGGGGGAGGAGACAATAAGAGAGAGAGGAGGAGAGGGAGAAGAGCAGGGAGAGAAAGAGGAGAGAGAGGAGATGAGAGAGGAGAGAGGGAGGGGGAGGAGAAAATAAGAGAGAAAGAGTGAGAGAGGAGAGGAAAGAGAGGAGGAGGAGGAGGGGGATAGAGGAGGGAAGCAGAGAGAGAAGGGAGAAGAAATTGAAAGAGAGAGTAAGAGAGGAGGGGGAGAGAGAAGGAAAAAAGAGAGAGGGAGGAGAAAATGGGAGAGAGAGAGTAAGAGAGGGAGGAGAGGGGGAGAGAGAGCAGAGAGAGAAGGGACAGAAGAGGAGAGAGAGGGAGGAGAAGAGGGATAGAAGGAAGGGAGAGGGTGAGAGAGAAGGTCTGGTCTAGAGGAGGAGCAGGTCTGGTCCAGAGGAGGAGCAGGTCTGGTTTAGTTTAGAGGAAGAGCAGGTAGAGGTGGAATCCTGGCTGCAACGGCGGTTTACTCCACTGCTCCATCTGGATCCTCTATTTCACATGATCTCACCCTGAAACTCTCTCACTGTTTCCTTAAATGATGGCCTGTATTTCTAACCAACATCTAATCATTACAAACGCGAAGCTATAAACAATGACTTGTCACTGAAAGCGGGTTATTTTTAGACACTTGTGTTGAAAGTTAGTGCTGCTGTTGTTGTTTTCTGCTGCACATACACACATACTTGAAATCGCCGCACATCTCCGGTCCCTGTGGATGATGATGTGGGTTTATTCACTGCTGTTTGGGTCGAATGTCGTCGTCAGTACACAAGCACAAACCTCTAAAGCACAGGTGTCAAACTCATTTTGGTCTGGGGGCCGTATCCAACCTACTTTGATCCCAGAGGGGGATCAGAAAACTCATGTCATATAAACCCCAAAAATAACAATAAGTTCAAATATTTGTGCAGAGAAATGCAAATCTATTACAGAAATCTTTTTTAATGGATGAACTCTTTCTTATTATAATATTATAATATTATGAACAACCTGAAACTTTGAGAAAAATTCAATTTCAACACAATGTTTTAACATGAACTTGTACGAAAATAGGAATAAGTCAATTTTTCTTGGAAAATCCTGCACTCAGCTTCACTTTTCTCCTTTTTGACATTTTGTTGATGAGGGTGTCACGGTCAACAGTCAAAACGATCGTCCTTTAAGAGCGTTTGGAAAGAGACAAGTCTTCATTTGTGCTGCTCTGGTGGGAGGGGCCACGTACAGAGACGCTGGAGACGCTGCTGTGATAAACACCACAGAAAATTAACAAGATTTTAATAGAAAATATAATTAAAATATTTTAGTAGAAAATGACCCAAGGGCCACATTAAAGGTCTTGGAGGGCCGGATCTGGCCCCCGGGCCTTATGTTTGACACCTGTGCTCTAAAGCAACCAGCTGACCTCTTCAGTTTTAAGAACACGTGTAGAAAGCAATTAAATATAAGCCTCGCTCTCAAAGTGCCTCCAGAACTCTGTAGAAGCGCAAAACAACACAAGTTAAAGAAACGTTCAGAATGGCGGTTGTTGCAGTTTGCTCAGTGACCACAAGAGTGTAGTAAAGAGTGAAGCAAAGGACACCGCCACTACACCCATGTTTCAAACAGACAGAAAGGAAGAGAAACTCCAAATTATTTAATTATACTTTTGACACTCACATGATTTTGGATTTTACTGGGCAACCGCTGCTTGTTTTGATTGCCTTGACCGAGCACTACTGTGTTAGACATAACCATATGTCATGTCAAATCACTGTTTCCTCTTTGCTTTTCACTTTCACTTTCACTTTCTTTCTTACCCCACCTCTTATGGATAACCTACCTAGATAGATAGATAGTATGATAGATGTGTGTCAGTAAAAGATCTCTGCAGTTTAAAGGCCTCATATTATTTTCAGTTTTAATGTTTAACTTCCTGTTGACTTCCTGTTGCGCCCTCAGGTGGTGGCCACGGACCCGTTCCCGGTGAAGCTGCAGTACGATAAGTCACATGACCAGGTGTGGGTGCTGACTTGGGGCAGCGCGGACAGGACACGCCCCTCTCTGCAGGTAAGAGCTCACCTACTGTTAATAAACGTGTGATAACATCATGTGATTGTGATAAGGTTTGGGTTCATAACAATCTTTAAATCTGAGCTGGAGACAGGTCAGAATTCTATGGTCAAATTTGTCTTGGAACTGTCAGATTGCAGATATTTATGATTCATATGTTTGTAATCACTCGGCTTATCCACATGAAACACAAACTGCCACAGAATTCAGTGTCTTTTCTCTGACTTTTTATTTTTAATTGCCTCTAAAAGGGATGACATTGTTCAAAAGTAGACAAATTTGAATATTTGCACCGTTAAATTTGATCATTTCAACAAGGATGGAAGATATATCGACCGACATGGAACAGTTTTTTTTTTCAATATTGGTATTGCCCGATATTGACAGTCAGTACTGATATTCCAGTATTTTTCCCCATGTGTCAATCCCAGCTTGTCCCATACACTGTTTATATAAATGGACATAGCAAACCCGTTAGTCACCGTGTTCCAAACAGGAAGTGAGCATGGGTGCACTTCCGTCTCCATCGACTTGTTATTTTGGTCTTAAAAATGTTCGTGTTAAACTCTTCATGATCCTGGTGTTTTGATTTCACTGTTCATAAATCAAGATTTGAACTTTAACAGACAAATCAGGTGCCTTCTTCACCTGAGGTCGCTCCCGCCAGCTTTAGCAACACGTTTGATTAACTCCCACTTCCTATTACACAGCAAAAACTGGAGGGTTAAAATTTTAGGGTAAAATATTTCAGAGTTGTTTTTAACACCAAAAGTGTTATTTTAACTATCTGAAAGTTAAATGGGGGTTCGAGTTGGGGTTATTTGCCAGAGTTGATGTGGCTGAGGTTAATTCAACTTCCCTTAGTGTTAATTCAACTTCTCTTAGAGTTAATTTGGCTCTTTCCCATTCACCACATCAAACTCTTGTGAGAGAAGACCAGTTTGAACCAGTTTTGTACATAATTTCATCTTTAATGAACTAAAATAAAGTAAAAATAAAATAAAACACCTCTGTGTGTTGTTTAGCTAAATCAGGATAACTCTACAAAGTGTTATCTTTACTCTCAAAACATGAATATAACTCTGGATTTCAGGGTTAAACAGGAACTTTGGTCCAGTGTTACTTAATTAACATTTCCAAAAATGTTAAATTAACTCTAGAACAGATGGGACTCATATAAACTCTGAGAAAATGTTAAAATTGATTCTGTGAGAGTCAATTTTAACACTCCACTTTTTGCTGTGTAGGGCCCGACTGATATGGAATTTTTTTGACTCCGATATGATACAGCCGAAAAGGGCTTTGGAGGTGCCAATAGACGATATAACAGACGATTTTGTGATTAAAAAATTGACTGTAAATCTTCCACTGATTTGCCTCTTTACAATCATATTTAAAGAGAGTAAGTCGGTCTAGTGGCATTTTTGCATCACATTCTAGCCTCTAAACAAAGTAGCCTAAGTGAAATAACGCTTAGCTTTCAGCGGTTATCGTAAATGTGTGTGCGCCGTGGTAATTAATTATATGTGTCAATGCTGATCATTCACACCTCAATTCACAGCTCATTTACATATCAGTGCAGGTCCAGTAACATGTACACACACTACAGTCACTTTACATTAGGCCAATGTAAAAGAAAACAGACTGTTCTAAACTGCACTGAAGTTCACTTTTATTTAGAGTCAGTATCATGGATTCATCAGACACAAAAGCATTCATCCAGCGCCTCAGTGTTGTGTACTGAGCAGTACGGCATCACAAACACAAACCTACTTCGCAGATAAATGTTGATGCCACATATTAGGACATTTATCTGTCTCTACATTGGATTAAATGACATAATATAGAGTCTAAGGCTACGTTCAGACTGCAGGGCTTAACGCTCAATTCTAATTTTTTTGTGAAATCCGATGTTTTTGCAAGGTCCTTCTCATTTCCAATTAAATGCGACTTGTATGTGACTCCAGTGTGAACGGTAAACAGCCCGAAAGTGTCCCGCATGTGACACTGGAGACACGATGACGTCAACCGCAGCGAGCGTCTCTGTGTTTACGGAAGTTGTCCAAACATGGACGCAGCATCGAGCACCTGGAGATTTTAAAGTTCCTCTCGTACCGGAGCCAGAACATGAACAACTTACTTGTTTTAAGGTTTTTGGTCGTGGTGTTTTGTGGGGCAGCGGCAGCGACGTCCGTTGAAAGGAACGTGTGGATGTGGAGACGGAGCCAAGAGTGGTGAGTGGTGATGTGCTTCACTTCAGTGACACAGAGTTCATTAACAATTTTCGCCTACTTCAGCGCAGAATAGTGACGTTTGTGGCTTGTTGATAACGTGTAGGTCAGATTCACGCACTTTGACCGTTCAGACTGAAGTCGCATGTCAAAAGATCAGATATGTATCGGTTTCAGGAGCACATATCCAAGTGTCCTGGGTCACATTTGAAAAAATCAGATCTGTGTGGTTCAGACTGTCATTAAAAGATCAGATACAGGTCACATAGTGGGAAAAAAATCGGATTTGGGTCACTTCAGGCTGCAGTCTGAACGCAGCCTAAGCTTCATAATGAGGTATAACATGTCCACGTGGACTATCAGCCCATACCAGCGAAATTTAGGCCGATTTACTTTTTCTTTGTCGTAAATTTGCATTCACACAGTAATACTATATACTTTAGTTTTTCAGTGTTCATAGTATTTGTGAGACAAGGTGATTAGAGTGTTCGTCCACCAAAAGTAAGTTTCAGTTCAGTTTGGTTCAGTTCCCAACTCTGATCAGCACAGGTTGTTGTGTTCTTGGGCAAAGCACATCACCCATAAATCTCCAAGTGTCGATCTCGGCCGATAATATCCACCAACTGATATATCGGTCGTGCCCTACTAAACCAGCAATGTGGGTGCGAAGAAGAAGTGTCACCTTGAACAGTCTTGCTCCTGATTGACTCTTCGGTTGCTATGATACTCACAGTCGGAAATCCAAATTTGGAACTTGGCTCCAAATTCGCTCCTATAACCTCCAACCTCGATGAGCTTCATTTGACTGGAGCTGAGCGCTGTGGGTGACGTCACACTCTCTCAGTCCACTTCTTTATTCAGGCTGTGGTTTGTCTTCAGTGCATCATCAGATTTGCATTCTTGAGCAGACTCATAGGGATCGGAATCAGAAGAGAAATTAGGCTCAAAATATGTTTAAAATGCTACAAATGAAAAGGAAAAACACAATGCCTTGAGATGGATTTTAAAAGCTAAATATCATATCTTCAAATATCGGATACCGGCTCCAAAACAATCCAGATCGACCCTCCTCCTACTCTCCAGAGCATCCCTCCCCACATTTAAAACCTGGACGTGTTTCCTGTGTTTGGTCTCACGGCACAAACACAAACTGTGAGAGGCTGTGTGCAGAGGATTCTCTGAAAAACACACACACACACACACACACACACACACACACTTGTACACGAGCACAGAGCTGTTTACATGGGCGTCCCGCGAGGAGACGAGAGGCGTTCAGGGACAGATGTGTTTATTCCACTCTGCACGGGTCTGGGCGAGATCACACTGATTCTACTTTACACGCTGAAATTATACAAGTACTTTTTTAGTATTTTTCACGTTTTAATCTGATGAAGTTGTTAATTAGCGCAACAGATGTAACAGAGTTTGTGGGAGACGTTAATTATACTACAGATACAGAGAACTTTTTATAGACTGGTGCTTTCATTTGGAATCATTTCGTTGCACAGTGGGAGTCTGTAATTAAAGATGCACTGTGTAACTTGTCTAATGGAGAGTCTGCCACTTGTTTGTTTTCATGGAGATGTTATTGCTTTAGTTAGAATGTTCAAGAGTTTGGCATTAAGATATTCAGAGTAGATCTCATCCACCCCGGAGCTTTGGCCCAGAGGAGCTCGACCTCCACCTCAGAGACTCTGCATCCTGAGTCTCTTCCTCCTCCTCTGAAGACCTCCTCTCCTCTGAAGACTTCCTCCTCCTCTGAAGACTTCCTCCTCCTCTGAACACATGATGATGGGACTGAGATCCTCAAAGTTTTCCTCCTGGGCATGTTCCACCAGGAGGAGGCTGGACACGCTGGAGGGAGTATGTTTCTTGGCCTTAGGGGAGCTGGAGGAAGTGCCTGGGGTGGGGGAAGTCTGGGAGTCTGCCTTGTGACCCCAGATGAGCAGAAGGAGATGGACGGACAGCAAGACAGTTCGATATGTTTATGGATATAGATATGTTTAATGTTTCCAGGGAGACAAGAGGATTCACAGTGTTGCCAAATCCATGAAAAAATAATAATTAAAAAAATTAACTAAAATTTGCCTGATGTGCTGTCAAAAAACACAAAAAGAGAAAGAAAATCAGCCCAATTAAAATATTAGAATAACTGAATTTAAATTCAAATGATATATTTTGTTATGCCTTGTAATACGTGCATTTACATAGGCCTAGTGTTGTAGTATTTGAGGCCGGTCTTGGCCTAAAGACCATTTTTTTACGGTCTTGGTCTCGTCTCAGACTCAAGTCTTGAACTCATCCTTGTCTCGGACTCGAGGTCTGACGCTCGTTGAGTGTGATCATATTTCATTACGGTCGCTGCTGTCAGTAAACTTGTCCCGGTGTGCAGGACGGTGCGGGGCTCCTCACTGCAGCCTGTGCGCTCGTTTGGAACCTGTGGACAAAAATAAATAAAAATCCTACCCGCTTTATTCACTTTGAAGTAGTCTTTTGTAAAGTGTCAGTGGAAGTTCTCTTAAAGAAGAGGTTCTCAAACTGTGGGTGAGAGTCCAAAAAGCGGGCACAGAGTGTTTCAGTGCAGCACAGTTTGTTTGGCTTATTTTATGCCTAAATGAAAATTAATCAGATAAATGGAAATACATTTATAAAAACATTGTTATATATGTGCCAAATAAGTGTTAAATACAAATAAATGTTGAAAATAACAAAGATGGTCTTGATTTGGTCTCCATGGGCCGTGGTCTTGGTCTTGTCTCGGTC